ATGGTTTATTATATGCATGTAATAACCATGATATCATATGTTTTTAAACTAGAATTATAAAACATATATAAAGACCCTTATTTTACAAACCTCAAATCTATGCAATCATTTTGAAAAACACCCGCACGTTTCTTGTATGCACTAGTGGGATAAATAATACCTAACCGCTTATTGTTGTCATTTGATGGTCGGAGTGTCCTCGCGATTTCTATAACCAAGTTATAGGCCGATTACACAAGTTTTTCAAATTGGACGATTTGATCGAAAATCTTTTGTGATAAAGGATACCTAAGCAAGAGAGTTCCGAGGCATAGATGGGATCAAACATGTCTAATTAAATTTGTTATTAGCGATCCCATAAATCTAGGAATTAAATAGTAAGATATAATTGATAATCAATATCTACCGAGTTGAATTCAAATGGATGAGATAAAGGATACCTAACCATTTATTTGTTTTGCAACTTGGATCCTAGACTTTGATAATTAATGTTTTTGGAAACTAAAAGGGTATTAATTATTGAAGATTAAATATTGAAAATACTAAATGAATTTTGTTAAAATTTTGTAGTTATATAATCCATTCTCATTATCATGAATTGTCATTTTCTTGGATAATTTAAATATATATCTGATGATATAACAGGTCAAGCAATATTCCAATAAATACAATGATATTTTATTGGAATAATGCAAGGCTAAAAGAATCACATTGTGAGATCTAAGAGGCCCATGTTTTATAGACTGAACACCTTTTAGCCCAAGAAATCTACTAAAGCCCACATGGATGGATCTTGTTACTTTTGAGAAGAAACTGGACACAGGAAGAGGATTTACTCCTCTTATTAGGAAAAAAAGTCTGGAAGAGACTAGTACTTCTTGTATCTACTAGATAGAACTCATACTTTTCATATAACACTTAGGTACTTGGTACTTAAATGTTAACCAAATATTTGTAAATGGCTTGCAGATATTTATTGAAGAGTACCAACCGAGCACAATCAAGTTGGAACTACACTCTCGGAGTTTAGTTTATTATTTATGCTTAGAATATAAATTACTTGTAATGTAAAACAATATTTATTTTGGAACAAAATATGTTTTAATTTAGCATGTCTAAATATATGTCTCAGTTATTTTATTCAAATGTTTGATCATTTACTTAATCGTTTGTCATAACGATAATATTCATATTCTGAAATGATTAACTTCTGTTTATGAGACTAGATCTCTTAATAGAACTATGAAGTAAATATCAACATTTTATAAATAAAATGAAGTTCTATATACAAGCACTTTTGACTTAAACTTGTTTTAAATCAAACTTATCTTTGACCATTCACATATTCCAACTTCAAGAAAGGGATATTTGAAGGCAAATAATGTAGTTTATTTGACATATGTGAACCTTATTTATATGTAAAGGATTCCTAATTATATTTTCACTAAGGTGTAGAGAAAATAATTAAGGAACTATACACTTTAGTATATGACTTCCTTTCTAATGAATGTCTGAGATTAAGCACAAGATACCAAATCAACTTTATTAACAACTATAGTAGTTTTAATTATATTTTACATGGTAAAGCATAATTGTGAAATCTTTGTTGAAGGTTTCAAAAGTTGAGATACAAACCAGTAAGAACCATCTAAGGCCTTAATGATAATTAATGATGAATTAAATCTTACTTGATATGATTTACTTTCTAATCGGTAGAAATATTCTCCTTTAATATTTTTTGGATAGTACTTCAATCACTATTAATTGTATCTTGAATACAAATACCAACTAATAAGTAGATTAAACATTTTATAAGATTAAGTATGGAAAGGCTCCATCCTCATCTTACTTAATGTTTTATGGATTTGAAGCCAATGTTGGAATAAAGCTTCTAAACCCAAAATCTACTAAATACATATTTGTATAACACTCTAAATGTGGCTTAGATTGTTATATGCAAACCCACCAAGAATAGGTTCTTTTATTCTTGTGAAAGCTAAGTTAGTAGAAAGCAAGCTTCTAATGACAAAGCAAGTGGGAGGTACATGGAACTTGAAGCAGCTCAAGGACTATAACCTTATGTAGTAATAGTTGGCATTAGTTTTAACAATGATTGTTAAACTTGAATAATAGTTATTCACAAACACAAATTATTTATACTAATGATAGAAATCATCTATAACTTGAGAAATGTGGAATCTCTCATTGATGAGCTTTTATTGATGGTTTCTGGAAAATCCATCAAATACCAAGATGCTATGTTGGATCTCGAATCCGATAAATGACTTCGAGTCATGAACATGAGATGTAATCCATGTATAAGAATCAAGTAAGGGCTTGATTAAAATTTCTCCCTATAGCAAGTGGGAGATTGAAAGATCTAGTATGCTCAAGAGTCATATTAAAGTGATATTGCTAAATAACATATGATACTAATGGGTCACACAAACAACAACTTGATACAATTGATTATTTATTGGAAATTGATTTTAATAAATATTCAATAAAACTCTTATAATTAAATTGGGAATTATTTATTTCTAGGAAATAATTAAGTTTCATTAGCAAGTAACATAATATATCATATGGTATGATTTATTAAGTCATGTACAACATTTTGGACCATACATACTTTTTGTCTTTTACCAAAAAGTTAAGGTTTATATTTTATAAAAGAGTTTATAAAATTTACCATGTTTGACTTCTTTTTTATACAAAACAATGTTAGCATTCTTACAAGCATGCTAGTGATGGGTTTTGATTTGTTTAATCAAAAGAAATCATGCTTTAGAAGCATGCATGGACACTATTATGACATGGGGACAAGTTTGTCTAAAGTTGAAAGAACTAATGGTTATTAACTTCACTTTATGCATATAAATAAGAGGGCTTGAACTTGGCTTCTTAGCTCATTCCTTCCTTGAGGCATATGGCCGAAACTCTTATCTCTGTCTCTTTCTCTCTAGTGTTGGTTAGAAAACTTGAAGAACACATGCATCTTCATGCCCTCTTTAAGTTCAAATTGGTTATGAACTTAAAGCTTAAAGCTTTAAGAGTTTTGGACTAGCATCTACATCAAGTTGAGTCATTTTTTGTGTCTCAAAGGTTCCACATTCTTCATCAACTTCCAAGCCTCCCAAGAGGAACCAAAGAACTACAAAGGTTGTTATTTCTTCATCCTTCTATGGTTGGTGTTTTAGTCTTTCTATAACTTACAAGAAGATCCTTAGTTGGTATAAAATGTTTATGTTATTTAAAAAATTAAAGTCTTCCGTTTCCGTTTTTTTTTGTTTATGAAACTATTTTTGAACTAAAACCCAACAATCAACAAATTATATATATATTCTAAATAGCAATGTCAGCCGCTTTCATTTTTCTTTTCATTCCCTTCCACCCTTTTTATTTTCCATTTTCAATCCTTTAACATTCTTATTTTTTACTTTTGGCAATTTAAGCCCCCTATTCTGTTTCTAGTACTACCATCCTTATACTTTATAGAATGATATTTTCAACCCTTATTCAAACGTTGGAAAATGTCAATTTCATCCATTTTATTTTCTAAACTTTTATTTTATCCCCGGTAATATATATATACATATATATATATATATATATATATATATATATATATATATATATATATATATAGGGTTAGGTTATTTTGTTTTTACTAACTATTGTGTGCCAGAATGCACAGATCTTGACCAACGGATAAAATTAATCAATGGACATGATTTGAGGGTGTATGATATTACAATGGGATAACTGTACCATATAATCACACAAATTTTGGCAAAAGGGTATTTTGGACAATTAACTACATTTATAAAAGGAAATTTTGGATTTTTAGGGATAATTAATTCTTCTAATTTTAAAAATCTGAATTTTTTTAATTAATTTAATTTTAATTCTAACGTAATTTGTATACATAACCGCTTTTATTATGTTAGAATATTTTTTTTTTGTTAGAATGATGTTCTTTCAGAATTTTATTCTATTAGAATATTATTGAAGAATAACAACATTCTTGAATCCGAGGTTGAAAAATAACAACATTCTAATATATTCGTATACATCCGAACTTAAATACAAATTCATACATATTCTTACAGATTAAAAGCCTTATACATTTTAATATAATTATACATATTCTAAAAGAATATCAACAAAAATGAAAAAAATTCTTAAAAAATAACAACATTCTAAAATTGTGAGTATGATCAAACTTTATTCATTCTTCAAGTTATTCCTATTAGGTCTTCATAGCATTCTTCCAGCCATTCCTATCACAAAATACAACAAAAACTAATAATGATTAAAAACATGTTACTTGCAATTAACTATCACTTTATATATTCTGACAGAATACATAGAATATGACAGAATACATAGAAAAAGAATAATAGGCAATCCAAGAGAAATATCTATTACAAAAAAAAAAAAGACAATCCAAGAGAAACATCTATTACAAAAAAAAAAGATTAACAGGTAAACAAATATTCTAAAAGAATCATTAAATATAAAGTGTAGTTACCATTTAATTCTGATAGAATATATATAATATATATATATATATATATATATATATATATATATATATATGCAATTACCATTTATAGCATCATACAATTACCCATTACTATTGTGTAACCAAAATATATTATAAAATTTTTAATAAACATTCTTAAAGAATCATTAAACCTAAAGTGTAATTATCATTTTAAATTCTAACCGAGTGCATTCTAACATAATACACTATACAAAGCATAATGTATTCTTATAGAATCTACTATATTGTGTATTTGATAGTTCCTAAAAAATCAGTATTTTGTTAGAATACATTGTATAATAACTTGCAGTAACTCAGCTATATATCACTTTTCATTATCAATAAGCTAATTAAGCAAGCAATGTTCAGGGAAAATCAGAACCCCAAATGAAAAACAAAACCTCAAGTATATTTCAATAAATTTACGAATTAAGGTTTAATTCGGACCTGATTACTTGTAATAACCTCCGCCACAGGCATTGTAGTCTTCTTCAACTGCAGTTGTCAAATAAACCATAGTGAAATCAGCAACATCAAACGACTTCTCCTTCATCGCTTTAACGATGTCATCTTTGTTAAGCATGGTGCGGCGGATGGGCGGGCGGTTACAGCGCTGATCGCGAGAGAAGTATTTGATGTCGAACACGGTTTCTGGATCGGAGGTCGCGAGAGAAGTTGAAGGAACCAATCCTTTATAAAGAGAAAAGAATCCTTCTGTTTGAATGATATGGCGAAAAGCTCCTATCACACCTCCCAATGATTCACCTCTAGGTGCCACTAACTTTGTTCGAATCTGTTAGATCCCACGATGAATTTTATTATATAAATAAAAAAATTAATAAATGGGAAGAAAGAGTTGATGGAATTTAGTCAATTTACAATGCCGAGTGGTAAGCAAAGAATGCTAGCAGTCATGCCGGCGCCAGCACCGGCGAAGAGTTGTTCAAAATTTGTTGTTTCTTGATTTCCGGTTAACCGGAGAAGTTGCTTTCTATAGGAATCGTATGCACAAAAATTCAGGGCTTTAAATGGAGCTGTGCGAAGAATGTTAACGAAGTTTCCCTTCCAAAACCCTTTTAAACCTTGAGAAGAAGCGATTGATTTAATTAGCTCGAAAAGATTCTTCTGTTCACCACGAAGCATGTATTCAAGCTTTAGTCTTTCAAGTGGCGCAACAAATGTTCTGTTAAAAACATTAAAATTTTCAAGATTGATTAAAAATTTCACTTCTTTTTGGCCATAAATTCAACTGAAAATTCGAATATGTGAATAAGAAGAAACGAAAACCGTGAAACCAAGGGTGCAACAGCCCCAGCCCATAAATGCTTTGTAGTGTTCATAGCAGCATGTTTTCCCCTTAATCTTATAATAACCTTCTTCTTACTCTCCTCTTCCACCACACCATCGCCGGCGCCCACTGTAATGCCCGTGTTTCTAGGGTAGGCATTAATATTGACATTATAGTCTAGGTTAACCTTTGTAACTCATTTTGAAGAAATGAAAAGGAATTATGTGAATATTATGTGAATTATGTGTTTTATGCTTAATTATTAGGGTTTAATTAATTAAGAATAAAAATGAGCATAAAAAATAAATATTAGATAAAGCCAATATCTATTAAGAAGCTTGTAGTGGACGTGTCAAGGATTACGGATATATAAAGAATACCGAAATCCGAGTTATAACGAAGAAGTTATGACCTGTCGAAGTTTCGCGACAAACCGGCACGGTGCCGAATGTCGTAAAAAGTGAGTTTTTGATAAACTACTTTTTAGCCTTAGTGATCTAAACGAAACTCGTAGTGTTCGTTAAACCGAGAGTAGGTATAAAAAGAACGCCCAAATCTGACTTCGTCAAACATGGGTAGATAGTGATGTGTGATGAAATAAAAGTGATGAGAGGTCTCGATGTGATTGTGATTCAGTCATCTAGCGGAGTTTGGATGACGACCACGGACTTTCTAGACAGTCCAGTGGAACACTGGCAGGCCCGCAACCTGTAGGTGTAATGAACTTGAGTGTTCATTCGCTGTACTCCATTCCCCTCATGGTTGCCTTTAGGACATGTATGGCTGAGGAAACCCCTTAGCAGTAGTGTTCATCCCGATGATATTCTTTAGGCTACGTCCCTTGTGATAAGTATTTAGGGACGTAAAGTGAGGATAACGGGAAATGGGTAATCAGGGTTATTGTTGATTGATGAACTTAATAAGTTTATTATTACTGTGGGTTGAAAACCTTATATGCTCACCAGGCTCCCAAGCCTGACCCACTCAGCTTTTTATGTTACAGGTAGTGGACTCCGAGCATAGCCAGAGGACGATGAGAGATTTTTGGATTATAGGCCAGTAGTTGTAAATAACTGTTGAAAGGCTTATAATGTCTTGTTTATGCTTTTGATCTATATTGGAACATGACATCCCGAGGTTTTGACATGAAATGAAATTATATATTTCTTAAAGAAAGGTTTTGACAAACTTTTATCATGTTTTGTATTGGGGACCAATTCCGCAACATCTTTTAAAAAGATTTCTCTGATTTTGTTTTAAAAAGCATAAATTAAATCGGTCTTTTCTGGCCGAGAAATTAGGGGATGTCGCAGTTGGTATCAGAGCATTAGTTTAAGTGAACTAAGAAATTGTAGAATTTCTAGACTTAAACTTAGAATGCTAAGTGATGATTGTGAGATGAGTGTCTACCATATTTTAGACACGAGCACTAGTTTATTTTAGGAAAGATGCCTAAAATGCTTTTATGTGCTAAATGTTATATGTTTGCCATATATGCCATTATTTGTTCGGATATATGGTCTGTTGCCGACCGGATCTGGAAACCTTATGTGTGTAGGATTCTAAGCGTATGATTACGAGATTAGAACTAACATGTAAACGTTTCGGAGTGATAAGGGAATTTAAATACCTATCGAGGATAAAGACCTAAATTCGCCTTATTCGGTATATAGATTGTAATGGCAAGAACTCGAAGTGGAGTTGCAAATGCAAACGGAAACAGGGATCAACAGCCTCAACCTCAAGTAGTTGAGCAAGTACCTGTTGTAGGAGCTGCACCTGAGCCAATGACGATGGCTGTGGTACAAGCAATGATGCAGATGATGTTAGATCGCCAAATGGAGGAGACCAGGCGATTACTACAACAGAATAGGGAGGAAACTACGATACCTGTTGAACAGCCCGAATTGAACGAAGGGCAATCAGTAGGAGGGAACTACAGTGGGACTCTTGGTCAAGCCAACCCACCGATAGTTAGACAAAACAACCAGGATGGAGGAGTTGATGGACGCGGATGCAAATACAAAGATTTCATGGCATCTAAACCACCATGTCTATCTGGAAGTCCGACACCGGTGGAAGTCATGAACTGGATCTCCGAAATGGAGACGATGTTTGAAAGTTGTGAGTGTAGCAACAAACAAAAGACTACACTTGCAATTCCTCTGTTAAAGTCTGGTGTATTGAGCTGGTGGAAGTTACTAGCTGACTCGATGCCCAAGGGAGAAGCTAACAAGATGTCTTGGGAAGACTTTGTGGTACAGCTGAAATTACAATATTGCTCAGAGCAGGATCTTCTGGAAATTAATAATGAGTTCCAGAATTTAAAGAAGGGAAAGATGAGCGTTACTGAATACGCTGCTAGTTTTACGGAAAAGATGAAGCTCGTTCCTCATCTAGTTCCAACTGAACTCTCTAAGGTCAACAAGTTTGCCCTCGGATTACCAGCGGACTTTGGTCCGATGGTTAAACAAGCAACCACTTTGAAAGCCGCCATCTGGGCTGCTAAGAATGTTGAGATTCAGATCAGAGAGAAGGGTCTGGAGAGGGCAGAAGTTGGCGAAAAGAGAAAGTTTTAAAGAACTTCGGGTTCCAATAAAAAGAACAAGTTCTCGAAGACTGGTTCGAGAAAATTTGGAGGAGGAGCCGAAGTGAAATGGTGTGAGAAGTGCAAGAAAAATCACTCTGGGAAATGTAGTGAGGGGGTGACTTGCTACAAATGTGGAAAGACTGGGCATTATGCCAACGTGTGTACGTCCGACAAGAGGGTATGTTTTAAGTGCCATGAAGAAGGGCATGTTTTTAAAGACTATCCAAAAAGGAAGGATGCAGCAAAGCCCAATCTACCACCAAAGCCGAAGGCGAGAGCCTTTCAAATGACACTTGAAGCTGCGAAAGAAGAAACTGATGTCGCTTCAGGTACCTTTCTCGTAAACGAATTGCCTGCCCAAATTTTGTTTGATTCTGGAGCCAATTACTCCTTTATATCACATGAATTTGGTAGAAAACCAGCTTTGCCTGTAGATAGACTAGTTAATGCCTTATTAGTCGAGATTGCTAGTGGCAAGTTTGTACCTGTTAGCCATCGTATGAAAAATATCCTCATTGACTTGGATGGGAATAAGTTCCACGAGGAATTATTGCCTATCGAGTTAAATGGATTCGACATAATTTTAGGAATGGATTGGCTTAGCGCCAATGATGCCGAAATTATTATGTAGGAAGAAGATAGTAAAAGTAAACCCGCCAGGGAGAGAGTCGTTTATGGTATATGGAGACAAACGCAGAGTAAACTCTGGAATCATTTCCCTAATGAAAGCCAGAAAGTGTTTGGCCAAGGGATGTACATCATATCTAGCGTTCGTGATCAATGCTAAGAAGGAGAAGAAGGATGTGCAGAATATTCCGGTGGTGTGTGATTATCCGGAAGTCTTTCCCAAAGATCTTCCTGGATTGCCCCCTGATCGACAAGTAGAATTCCGTATCGACTTGTTACCAGGAACGACGCCAATGGCAAAAGCACCATATCGATTAACACCAACAGAGATGAAAGAACTTATGACACAACTTTAGGAGTTATTGGACAAAGATTTCATTCGACCTAGTTCATCACCCTGGGGAGCCCCTGAGTTGTTTGTAAAGAAGAAGGACGGGAGCATGAGAATGTGCATCGATTACAGAGAGCTAAATAAAGCGACGATAAAGAACAAGTACCCGTTGCCGAGGATCGATGACCTGTTCGATCAGTTGCAAGGATCGAGCTATTTTTCAAAGATCGATCTTAGGTCGGGATACCATCAACTGAAGGTGAGAGAGCAGGATATCGAAAAGATTGCGTTCAGAACAAGATATGGACACTATGAATTTTTGGTTATGTCGTTCGGACTAACCAATGCCCCAACAGCTTTTATGGATTTGATGAACAGGGTTTGTAAACCATACCTTGATAAATCCGTGATAGTATTCATAGACGATATCTTGATATATTCGAAAAGCAAGCAGGAGCATGAAAAGCATCTGCGTGAGGTGCTAGAAGTCCTGAAAAAGGAGAAGCTGTATGCAAAGTTCTCCAAATGTGAATTTTGGATTCAATAAGTCCAATTTTTAGGTCATGTGGTTAACCAAGAAGGAATAATGGTTGACCCAACAAAGATTAAAGCTGTGATGAAGTGGGAACAACCAAAAAGTCCTACGGAGATTAGAAGCTTTTTAGGATTAGCTGGATATTATCGAAGATTTTTCCAAGGCTTTTCTTCGATTGCTACTCCATTAACAGCTTTGACCCACAAAGGAGCTACTTATGCTTGGAATGAGAAGCATAAGGAAGCCTTTGAGAAGTTGAAGAAGAGATTGTGTGAAGCACCGATTCTTTCGTTACCTGAAGGAGTTGATGACTTCGCAGTCTATAGTGATGCCTCTGGAGTTGGGTTAGGATGTGTTCTGACCCAAAGGGATAAAGTGATCGCGAATGCATCGAGGCAATTGAAAAAACATGAAAAGAACTACCCCACTCATGATCTAGAGTTGGCAGCGGTAGTATTCGCCTTAAAGATATGGAGGCACTATATTTATGGTACTAAATGTAAACTTTTCACTGATCATAAGAGTCTTCAATATCTCTTTAATCAGAAGGAATTGAACATGAGGCAACGGCGCTGGCTAGAGTTACTCAAGGACTACGACTGTGAGATACTTTACCACCCTGGTAAAGCAAATGTTGTTGCTGATGCTCTCAGTCGGGAAGGTGAATCTTGAAAAGAAAAGGCGAAGAGCGTTGAGAATTGAAGTTGTCTATATAATTGTGGAAAGTATAAAGAAAGCTCAAGAGGAAGCTTGTAACATCCGGATTTTCAGG